TCGAGGGCGCCCCAAGCCTGCTGCTCCTCTCTCGTCTCGGGAGCCGGCGGCAGGGGTTGCATGACGGGTTCGACTGGGCCACCGTCGAGGCGATGACCGACGGTTGGGCGAATATTCCTCGCAAAGATGTCTCTGGCGCCTAGACGACTGGCGATGCTCATGCGCTGCTCCCAGTCTTGGTGTTCTTGGATATCGCGAAAGTGTCCTCTCTGGGCCTGGGCGCGGCGAAAGCCCTGAAATAAGTCTTCGTCTTCGTGGTTGTCGAGGTCGATGTCAGTAGCATCGTAAATGCGACTAGCAATCCGGTCCCATGCACCCTGCCACTCGAGGGATCTTGCCTCGCGTCGTGCATTTCTAGCTTGCAACTGGGTTCGCAACAAGCCTCTTTGAGCGGTAACGTTTCGTCGGTTTGCTGAGCGTGCAGCTGGGTTCAAAGGCCGTGACTGGATCACTTCGACATCCGAAGCCTCACTAGGGCTGGATCGGCTGGCATTGTTGTTTTCATCACACTCAAAGCAGTACCAGGACTCGGTCTGGGGAACACCAGACAGGCCGATGCAGTGTGTATGATAGGCTGCGTTGCAACCATCGCAGAGGAGCAGCACCTCTTCATGATCCGAGGACTCGCATATGGGACAGGCAGGGCTCGGCTCCTCGCCTTCGCCCTCGGGGTTCTCCTGAAGCCATCTGTGGATATCAAACTCCTGCTCTTGCTTCTTGTCTTGAACAGCGTACGAATCGATAGGGGGGCCTGTTATTGTCACCAACGTTAGTTTCTTGTTGCTAAAGCTGCTGCTGCTGCGAGCGTCTATTGCGAGGCGGGATGATTTGATACGTACCGTTGAGCTCAGATGAGAGGCTGACCTCATTGAAGGGTGTACGGCAGATGGGGCAAGTATTGGAGTTCTTGGCCCAACTTCTGATGCACTGATCGTGGACAACGTGATTGCAGCCAACGAGGGTAGCAATGTAATTTGACTCTGGTTCTTCTAGTATTTCGAGATCTGAGTCGATGGTACGGTATGTTGGCTGTACTGTTGTGGTGGTGGCTGCTGCTGTTGCTTTTGCAGCCGCTGGGCCCGCTACGTTTCCAGCAGCAACGTCTTGCTGCTGTTGCTGTTGCTGCAACGAGGGGTGCTGCAGCGACTCCAGGCATATGATGCACTGATCCGGTTCAGTCATTGTGGCAACTGTGGTGGTATCGCTTGAGGTTTGATGAATTCATAAAAAAACGTCTTTGAGCAGGGCCAATAGATGGCTTTGAGATTGCAGGAATATGTGCGTGGATATTGTTATTGTAGCCGTGATTGTGTGAACTTGTTTATGGGCTTTATTGCCTTGTTGTGTCGGTCGTGGGGTGGCAGATGGTAGGTAGAGGGGGAAAAAAAAAGAGAGGTGCCGAGTTGTTCAGTGTCTGGTGGTGGTAGTGGCAGGCCTGAGGTGGGAGTGTTGAGGCGACTGAACGGCTGTCGGGTCGCTATCAGTCGAGTGCACAAACGCACGACCAACTGGGCAGGTTGCTGAAGAGTGGGAAGGGTGCCAAGGGGGGCACTTTGGGGGTTGGAGGGGGAAAGTGGAAGGTGGCCCAGGTTTGGTAGGTAAGTTCGATATGTCCTGCGTTTCTGGCGCGAGATGGACTGTCAGCCGGTTCGGGGGATGTTTCGCCGCTGCGCTAGGCAGGGAAACCAAGCAGCAAAAAAAAGACGAGTAAGATATACGATGAAATAAAGTGGCCGGTGTGGAGAGAAGAGGGGGGCTTCAAACTTTGGCTGGCAGTGCTTTTCTGGTGAGGCGAGACAAGTAGGAAGAGTGAAAAGGGAGAGAAAAGGATCTGGTATGGTCGCCTTTCTTTCAAAGTGCGGATGAGGTATGTTCGTGGGTGAGGTGCCCACTGGTGGACGGGGGGCGGTATGGGAGTCTTGGGAGTCTTGGGAAAGGTGGTAGGTAGGTAAAATGGCGGTGCTGGGCTACCCGAGAAGACCTTGGGACCTGGAGAACTGAACGGGAATTGTAAGAGGAAAGGTTTGGAGAGGCCAGGACCCCCAAGGCGGGTTTTTTGCGAGCTTAGCGCACGCCTGTAGCTGGTCTCGACTGGAGCCAATCAACAACCGGCTGATGCAGTGGTGCGCCACGCTCCTTGCACCTTGGTCCTTCGTCCTTTGCACCTCACCCTTCGCGGGCTTCCCAGTCGATGGCCCACTGGGCTGGACAGTGGACAGGGACCTCATGGAACTGCATCCCATGCCTCCACCAGCAACGGCAGCACCCTCACAGTCACACTCTGTCACTCACACACACACACACACCCGTGGACACAAACGTGCATCTAGACGCATGCTCGAAGCAGGTCGACGCACTGAGACGGACCAGACTAGCCCACTAGGGTCGCTGCAAGCCTGCAAGAGCACGTACTCTCCATGGATCGATGCAGGAGCCGGAGCATCAACACCAGCCCGGAGGCAACATCTCACCTCACGGACATCCCACGCCGAGGAAACGCTCAAAAACACCCTCGGGAAATAAGATGGCCTGTTGAGGGATGATGTTTACTGCTGCAGTAACAACTCCTCCTACTCGGCAACGTTGTCATCTGGAGGTGTAGGCACGTAACTAGGTACGTATGGGGACACCTCTGGCGGGAAGAAAATAAAGAAACCGATTTGGTACGTACCTCGACTTGGCGGCAAAACCACGACAACAACGGCTGGGAGCTTGCGTGGTTGCGTTACTTCGGGTTTGCGTTTGCCAGGCCTTTCTCCCCACGATTCGACAGCTCCTCTCAATTGTCTATTGACCAATCCTCCAATCAGGTAGGTACTGAATGACGGAGTGCCAGAGTGCCAGAAACAACTGAGAGTGAAAGAGCTATGTCCGGGGGAGAACGGTGGGAAGGGGGAAGGTGGTAAGGTGGGCGGCGAGTCAAACACTCAATGGATTGGCTACTTGGCTCGTGCGATGTTGTTTGGTGACTTTTTGGTCAGGTACCTCGATCCAGCTGAGCGTGGGTGTGATGGATCATGGAAGAGAGTCTTAGGTCGGTTCGATAGGTAGGTACCCAAGTGGCGGATGGCGTTGAGAACTTGAGACGCCTTTGATGGAGGGCGAGGTGTGAGGGCGTCTACGTCAGGCCCTCCTGTCAGGTGAACTGCGTAAAACGTACTTTGTAGTACCTAGATACCTAGCCCCAAGTGTTCTTGATGTGAGTGTGAGGTGAGGCAAGGCAAGGCAAGACAAGGAGGTAGTGTTCCGAGTTGGCGCGCAACGACGGCAACGTCAGCCCGAGTAATATGAGGGGGTAATCTGGAGACAATCGCGGTACAAGCAGAAGCAACGGGAACGTGCAACGGTGGGAAGCGGTCGAGGGCGGAAGAATGATGATAGCTGAAGAGGTAAAGTCGGGGCGCAGGGCGTTGGTATTCGGCGCTGGAATGGGTCAGGTCGACAATGGGTGCTATCTCCGCTTCCAGAAATGGGCTGCCTGCACCCATCCCGGATGACGGGAGTCGGGGGGCAGTGGCATAGGTAGTGCCAGGCAAATGGGCAATTGCCAATTGGGAGAGAAACTAAGTTACGGCGCTGTGTCCGTAAAGCAAGGTACACGTGAGACCTTCATGCCCCTCGTTTCTCGGAGGCCGACGAGATTGGTTCGATGGGGCCTGGCCTGCGTCAGGTTGCGACCCCAAGCCCAGAGTCCGGCCTCTTCCTTGGTGCTTGGTGTGCCCGAGCAACCTTTTTTCCATTAAATCATTGATTGTTCGTCGACGGCCGCTCGTCCCGGCCGGATGCTACTTTGCCTTTTCCCACATTTAATTGACAGAGGGGGGGAAAAGACACGGGAAGGGTAAGAAAGCCAGACTCAATCATTAAAACTGGCCAATTTGCTGCGGATGTATACGGCATTTTATACCCATGTGAACCTGCTCTCGTTTACGGCGGCATTTCCGCGCGGCATAGGCTCACAGCCCGTAATCCTCTAAGCCCCCCAAGGTGTACCGCTTACCGGATACTTGCGTGGTATTGCGGACGTCGATGCTCTCTGGTACTTTGAACTTTCGTGAGATCCTCGGCTCGCGGTTGGGCGTCTTTGTATGTGTCTCTCTGCTAAGGTGGCATACGTGCAGCGATATCGAAAAAACAGGGTCGAGGTGAGAAGCTCAACTCACCGACTTACATGGCAATCGGAAACCCACTGTGCTTTTCGGTTAACTCGTCTTCACCGCGACAGCCGGGCTGCCTCATTGGCCCACCGCCTGACCCCCAGCTGCATTCGCGCCTTGTAAGTCTAGAACACCGGGATGAGTCAAGTTGTGATTCGACGTGGCATCGCTACCGTAACGACTGTCGCGCACTTGTTCGCTTTGCTTCGAGAATGGCCTTCGTCGAGGTTTCAACCCGCCTCAGAACACCGAGATGAATACCGGGCTTCGTGAGAACCTTGGTGGAACACACACCCCAACGCGGGCACCCAAGCGGATCACTCCTCTTTGCCTTGCTATTCCCAGAAATGACTGGAGATGACTCGGCCTCGACGTGGACACCTTTACGGCGCTGTTCCCTATGCTGAATCACGGTTACGTAGCCTGGTGGAGGTATCTCTCATGACGACTGGAGCAAATCTTTTTTTAATGTTGGGTGGCCCGCTTCGACGCTTCAACCACGCGGCTGAAGATGACGGGGTCGATGACTCTATCCATGCCAACTAACTCCACACGCCCTGCCAAATGACCTCGCAACGCTCTTCACCACTTCACGATATGACTTGCCTGAGCAGGTCGGTGGGCGTGTCTCAGGAACGGACGGAAGGGTCAAGCGATCGGGAGGGAGGGGACGTTTTGTTTGTACGTCAAGTTCTTTTCATTGCTGACCAAGTGGTCCCTCTGGCAGCTGACCGAAGACCCGTTCCGTTATGGCCATCGTCAGGATGTAGGCACGATATCCGATTTTCCCAACACCGCCCGAAATGCAAAGCAGAAACCATCCACCGTTCGTAATCCCGTCCCTTAAACCTCAGCAATCTCTCTCAGACGACGGAGAGTGGAGCGCATGGCAGCAGCAGCGGGGGTGCTATTTGCAGTGTTAGCGTTCAGTTTCTAGTCCGACTTCTCTCCGTGTGTCAACATACGCGACAGTGTAGGCACCGCCAGCAACGGTCTTGTTGCAGCCTCTGCAGTTCCAGATGCCGGTGGAGTGGCGCTTGACGGTAGGCTTGCCGCAGAAGGTGCAGGTGTACTTGGCGTGCTGGGAGATTTCCATCTTCTTGACCTGCTTACGCAGGGAGGCACCGTAACGGGTACCGTACTTTCCGGTCACTCCGACCTTCTGTGAGGTTGTTAGAAATCTGTGGTTTCAATACTCTTGGTTCCTGGCTTATCGACGATCGCGTCAGAGGGCCGCCTGGCAGCAAATAGCCCCCGAGCTGGGAGTCTAGACGAGAGAGAGGTTCGAGTTTTGGTCGAGATATTGCTCTTAATCGTGTAAGAGTTTGAGATAGCTCAATCGTCGACGGTGAAGCACACCGAGCATGTGGTGTACAGGCAAATCGGATGACTTTCGTGATCACCGGTTGGTGGCATCTGCCTTCCTGGAGTCGGGAGTTTCGTCAAAGTTGGCGTCCATGGTCATTCGCTCGTCTCGTGTGTATCTCTCTCTCGTCATCGTCTCGCGTTGCGCTCGGGGATATTGCGTAGGCGGCCTACATGTTCCTCCCTAACCCAACCACCAAACCGAGCCCGTGATGGATGCCATTGTCGCCAATGAGGGAAAATCGTGGGCCGGTTTCGACGCGGGGTAGGGAAGTCCAAGCAATGACGGGAAATTCGATGAAGCCATTCGTCCTGGATGGGGTAGTAGAGTATTACGAACCTTCGTGCGCTTGGCCATTTTGTCGAATTTTGGGGGGGAACGGGTTCGTTGACTTGAAGTGCGACGAGTGGTGTTGACGGTTCCTCCAAGGCGGTTGAAATTTCTAGAGGATGGTGTTGAATTTTGTCAGGGCTTGCCGACTCCGTTTGTGCGCTGGGAAAGCGAGCACGGACCACAGTTGACGCGAAAAAAAGAATGCGGCAGAACTCCGGCAGTGGGGTTTACACCCGCCCTGACGCAACCCCTGGGTCCATTCTCAAATTCTCGCGAGTCGCCAAATCTTGACCCCCATCAAGACACGTGATCCCGCACCTGACAGCTGACCGCGGCTTACCTAACGTTTGACTTGGCGCATTGTTCAAGAGGTTGCACTGAAGGGCCTCTTCAAACGCCCGGGGAGGAGGCCGGGAGATCGGCGTCACAGCTGTCCGCTCGGCCCTTCTAAGCCGTAAGTGGAAAGCACAGCGTCCGGGTGGTTGTCACGAAGACGCTAGACCGCCGAGGCAGCGCGGACCAGATGCCTTGAACAGTTGGTATCGCCGTTTGCTACATCACAAAGTTTGCGCTCTCGACGGCCGCAGCGTGGAATGTGTCACCTCAATGGACAGCGAAACGGACACATTTTCGACGGATCATCGTGCATCTGTGAAAGGGGCCGGACATTGGTGCCACTTTTCGTGGCGTGCTGGGATATGTAAAGATGGCCGGTCGCCGCATGACTTTTGAGTGTAATCATTGATGTCTGAGACTCGTGCACCCTGACTCTTTTTTTCTCTTCAATCCTGCAACTGCCATTCCTTATTCTATCTCCCTTCGAGGCCAGACTTATTGTTGACAGGAGACATCGAGCAAGCGTCAGAGATGCCTTTCAAGCAACACGGCCGTCAGTACGACGTGGTCGTTTTTGGTGCTACCGGTGTGTATAAGTCGAGGATGCAGTGATGATGCAACCTAACGTCCAATTGCTGACAATTGCAAAAAGGCTACACCGGGACGTTCGTGGCAGAGCACATTACAACCCATCTGCCGACCAATTTGAAATGGGCAGTCGCAGGTCGATCGGAGACGAAGCTCCAAGGTCTTGTTGCCGAGTGCAAGAAGCAGAGTCCCGACAGATTGCAGCCTGGTACGTGAAAGGATTTTAGGCTATGCCGAGATCAGATGAGTGTCTGATCTTCACCAATGAAGTGACTGTCTCGGCGTCTTGCATTTTCAATCGTGCTAGCAATGGATGAGGCTACCACGTGCTGGAGATGTCAAGTCGAGAAACAACCTGTATTGGAGGGGGGAAGTGGTGACAAGCTGCTCGAGAGAGGGGCTGGATCTGTTATGCAGGCCTAGCCAAATAAGTCATCACTCCGAAGTACTGACCAATTTCACAGAAATCGAAATCTGCGGCCTCAACCACGAGGATCTTGAGGCGCTCGCCAAAAAGACATATATTCTCATCACCACCGTCGGCCCGTATGCAAAATATGGCGAGTTTGCCTTCCGAGCCTGCGCCGAGAACGGCACGCATTATCTCGACGTTACCGGCGAGACCCCTTGGACCGGCACAATGATTGGCAAATATGAGAGTGCGGCACAAGAAACAGGCGCCATGATGTTTCCTCAGATTGGAATCGAATCGGCACCGCCAGACCTCGTCACCTGGTCGTTGGCCAAGCAGGTCCGCGAGAAGCTCTCGGCCAAGACAGGCGCCGTGACGGTCTCCATCCACAAGCTGGAGTAGGTTCCTTTTTATCTTGCTGTTCCATTGATGATTATTGGACTGGGGTGCTGGTGAAACATTGACAGAACGTTGCTCTAACGCCGAAATTTGTCTGTTAGTTCGGCTCCGTCTGGCGGTACCCTGGCGACGGTCCTCAACTTGTTTGAGTCATTCACGATTCAGCAAGTAAGAGACCAGCACAAACCATATGCTCTCTCGCCCGTTCCAAACAACAACAAGGTTCAGTCGCAGACGTCCCTGCTGACCAAGTTGGTGGGATTGCGAAACGTCCCCAGCCTGGGACTGATGACTACATCCATTGCTGGGATGACAGATACGCCCATCATCCAAAGAACGTGGGGTCTCTTGGCATCGGTGCCTTCGCGCGAGAAACAGTTCTACGGGCCAAACTTTTCGTTCCAAGAGTACATGAGAGCAAAGGGTTACCTCCAGGGCATGGCTATTCACTGGGGACTGGCGTTCTTCGGCTTGCTGCTTGCGACTGCTGCGCCGTTCCGCAAGTTGGTGAAGAAATTTGTTTACGAACCTGGCCAGGGCCCGGACAAGGAGCTGTCAAAGAAGGACAAGATTGAGTATCGTGGCATTGCCAGCCCGGATAAGGAGTCCAAGACGGAGTTTCCCAAGGCTTACTGTCGTGCTTGGTATGACGGCAGCATGTACTACTGTGAGTTGAATTTGGATTCCTCCAATTGGTCGAGGGTGACAGAATGCTGACTGGACGCACACACAAATAGTGACGGCTGTTCTGTTGGCTCAAGCTGCGTCAACGCTGTTGGAGGAAGACGTCGACCTGCCCGGCGGTGTCTTTACTCCGTCGTGCTTGGGACAGCCGTTCATTGATCGGTTGCAGGGGGTCGGCTTCAACTTTGAGGAGAAGATCCTAGAGCACTGACGGGCCAGCAGAGGTACTGGTTCTCAACCGTGTTGTATTGTTCACTGATGATGACTGGGGGATGGTTCGCTTCAATGTAAACGGATTGTTCAAACGTATGCTGTAATTATCGAAACATATACCTCGTACTTAAATTCGAAAGAACGGGTTCATGTGCGTGATGATCGTTGCCGCATAAACTAAGCATCCTGCCCGCGAAACACGCTGACAACAGGATGCAACGTCGATTGTTGATGATAGCCAGGGGAGCTTACAACAGCTACCCAAGCTAAGCAGAGAGGCCCGGGGTTGTAGGGTTGCAACCTGATCTAACTGACAGGACTGGCAACATGATGCTTCCAATTAGGTTCGCACTGGAGATAAATGTTCCCAACTTCCCATTGTGGAGTTGTCGCCGGCGCGCTGGACCGACCTAACCGGCCTGCAGAGGGCAAATGGGCGCATACAAAAGTGAGGTACTCCGTACCCAAGTAAGGTACCTTAGGCAGTGCATTCCATTTGGTAGACGTCGGGTAATTAGCGCCCCGAAAGCAGCTTTCCCCGCAGAATTAGAGGAGCACGCAGCTCGAAGGGCCAGGCCCAGGAGGCTCCCCAATTCGTGCAAAACTTAGGACGTCATCAGTCCATGGTGCATGAGGTGAGGTGCAAATCCAGCACTGGCCGGACCCAGCAAGCAAAGCACAGGGCAGTCTCGGTCGCTTTCCACATCATCCACACGCAGCAGTGACCTTTCTCCGGAACCCGTCCAGCCGTGGATAATAATCATCTACAACACCTTGTACTCAGTTGCGACATGCGATAACCCACGGAACGACGACATTCTCTTCCGCTGTTTCAGTCGAACCGAATTAAAGTTTTTTTCCTTCTTTCTTTTCTTCTTCCATATCTGTGATACCCCCTAAGCTGTGAGAGAGGTAGAGGAAAAGAGTAAAAGAGAGCGAGAGCAAGAGCGCGCGCGGAGAGAGAGAAAGAAAAGAAGAAAGCTTTTTCTGAGGATGGATCAGACAACAACGACAACCGCATCGGCCTCGGCCACCGAGAACACGCCTCTACTACCAACGACAGAACTCCGCCCCAAGTCGTCGCGAACCGTCACGTTCAACCCGAACCCCGTATCCAAGACCATCGAACCGGAGCCCAACTTTCAACGATCAAAATCAAGCCACGGCAACAGTCTGGCGGCGAGCCCCGGGCAGAGCTCGGCCCTATCCTCCATCAACAACAAGCTGCGCAGGAGAAACAGCCATGGCGCCGTGCAGAGCCTGCCGCCGCAGATGGTGCCCAAGATCGGTCCCCAGCGGAGCACCAAGAACGCGCAGAAGCTGAAGCTCCTGCCCAACCCCGAGCTCAACGAAGAAAGCCCCGACGAGGAGAGCGGGAGGGACGTGTACTCGCAGTACACCAGGATCAAGGACCCTACGGCGCGTAGGGATGCCGCCCGGCTGGGCAAGGCGGACCGCGACAGGCTGCCCAGGGTGACGGCGTACTGCACGGCGAACAAGTACCAGATGGAAGGGCTCATGCGCTTCCTCAAGGGTCGCGGCAAGTCGAGGGGCGCCAACCCCAAGCTCATTGACGAGTGCATCTACACGGCGTACGACTATAGCAAGACGGTCGAGAACAGGCACGATCGCAGAGTTGGCGCGCAGCCTGATCCGGTACAGGCGTACGAGAGGCGACACTCGACGGGCGACGTCTCGGATAATGGCTTTGCTCGGGACAACCTCATCGACCTTCAATCCGAGGGCCGGCACGACTCTGGTTTCGCCGACGGGTTCGAGGGCGCCAACAACGAGCACGCGATGGTTGAGGGAGACTTTGACACGCAAATCCACACCCCCGAGGTCTTCCTCTTTGATTACGGAGTCGTTGTGATATGGGGAATGACTCTGGCCCAAGAGCAGAGGTTCCTCAAAGAGCTTGCCAAGTTCGAGACGGAGAAGCTGTCGCCAGACGATGTCGAGACGGAACACTTTAACTTTTACTACACAAAGGAGTATCAGGCTCGTATCTACAATGACTTCATCACTCTAAGAGACAAGAGGAATTACATGACCAAGCTGGCCATTTCTCACGCCCTAGCACAGAGTGTCAAGGTAAGGAAATGTTCACGAAGTAGGAGACTGCTCGATGACTGACATATTCGGGATAGACATCGCTTTTCGAGGAACTGATTGCTTCGACCGTCGACACATGTAAAGACATCCCCACGCAGATCGCGCTGACGGGTAAGATCGCCCTCAGCCGCACGCAAATCAACATGCAGATCGGGGAGCTCTTCATCCTCCGCATCAACATCCATCTCAACGGCTCCGTCCTCGACACGCCGGAGCTGTTCTGGGTCGAGCCGCAGCTGGAGCCCGTGTACCAGGCCGTCCGAACCTACCTCGAGATGGACCAGCGCGTCGGACTTCTCAACGAACGCCTGGACGTCATTGCAGACCTGCTGGCGGTCCTCAAAGACCAGCTCAGTCACGGACACGGAGAGAAGCTGGAGTGGATTGGTAGGCCGAACCCCCCGTGCCCCTTTTTCTTGCTTGCCGCGCGGCCTTTTTGCTGACAGTGCTCATAGTAATTGTACTCATTGCGGCTGAGATTGTCGTCGCAGCCATCAATATCGTGGTGGACTTGTATGCATCGGATTAGTAACATTTATGGCACGCGTACAAAGTAGGAATTTGGATTTTCTTTCTTGCACAGCGGGGTCTTCACAGGCGGGGGAAAAGCTCGGCAATGGGGAAGGTAAATCACACAAAACAGGGCACACAGAACATCCCCGACTCCCGTGAAAGTGGTGCAATAGAGAACGGGCTTCACAGCGTAGGTCACGTAGCTGGAGGGTGAGGGTGCTAGCCTAGTCAGCAGCAGCAACAAACCACTCCGTTTCCCGGGAGTTGATTCATGGTGTCTCTCGTATTGTACAAATAAATAAGGAATGTTCTACCCGCAAAGTCCCTCCCCAACGCCATGATACCTGTTAACAAGGACGATGTGCCGCGTGCTCATCAATCGTCCGCCTTGTCGTCCTTGTCGTCGGCCGCGGGCGTGTCGTCAGCCTGCTCTTCGGTGTCGTAGTTGGTCATCTCCACGTCTTCGTCCTGTGACGCAGCTGGTGCGGGCTCTGGTGACTTGTCGCGCTCTTCCTCATCCTCATCCTTGGCCTCAGCGCTCTTGCTCTTGGCCGCAAATGCGTCCTTTTCCTTTTGGTACTTGGCCATCTCCTCCTCGGAGCGGGTCTGGAACTCCTCCTTCTCGCCCTCGGGGAGGTCCTTCCAACCACGGGCGAGCTCCTCCTCAATGTTGGCATCGGCATCGTCCTTGTTCTTTTCCTCAAGAGCGGGCCGCGTGTCGGCGCAGTACATTTCGAACGCGTTGCCGGGGCGCTTGGGCGGCTTCGCGACGCCGTTCGTGCGGGCCGTCGCCTGGGTGTCGGTGCCCTGGGTCGCATCGCCGCCCTGGGTATGGGAGAAGGTCTCGGAGCTGGGCGAAACGGTGGCGGCGGTCTGGCTGAGGGGCCTAGAGTTGGCCTTTGCGGCCGAGTCGATCTCGGCCAGGACGGAGGGCTTGCGGTGACCGCGTTTCGTACGCAGAGGCTTTTCTTGCGGCTGAGATGGTGTCAGCATCCTGCTTTGTCGTCGAGGTGGGCTTGGCGGAGGGCCTACAGTCGGGGGCGGGCTCGGGCTGCCGTCTGAATCCTCCACGTTGGCGCTCGTTCTCTTAGCCAGCTGTTCAAGCAGGAAGGCTCTCTCCATCCGCAGCTTCTCAATTTGTCGTCGGATCCGGGCGAGGCGGACTCGGGTCGCGTCGTTTTCCTCCTCAACCTCGCCGGTGCGCTGCTTAAGCTGAATGCATTTTCGCCGATAGGCCTCTTCAACGGAGGGAGGTAGGGAAGGCGGAATCGCTGAGAGGTCGATCGCGGGGGGGTTAGCTCGAATGATCTTTTTGGGAGGCATTGTGCGTGCGTGGGCTATTCGGCGATATCCCAACCGTATCGAGTGTGAAGGGGTGGGAGTGAGAATTGGCTTTTTTCCCCCAAAGACAAGGTACGGGGGGAATGAGTTGCGACGAGATGGGGTTCGCGGCGGATGTCAAGCGGAGCTTTGCGAGGGTGGTAGGTTCAATGATTTTCCAAGGGAGTTTGCAAACGTACCGGATTGCGGAGCCATTATTACGTATCTGCAAAGGTCAAGAGTGATGAGGGTAGTACAGGGCACGCCAAACGGACGAAGGAGGTGAGTTGAGACTTGATTGCGACGCGAATCTGAAGATGGTAGAGATGGAACTGGGTAAAAGAGAGCGCGAGGGAATGGGCGAATTGTCGCCAGAAACCAGCACGCAGCAAACACGCCAGCTGGGAAGTGCGAGGCTGGCAGCTGCTGCTGTCTCACACAGACAACAGGCACGCACCTGAACCTTGGGTGCTTGGATGCAGGGGTTCCAGTGTTTCTTTCTCCGTCCGGACGGTGGTTCCAGCACCTGTTAAGCTGTGGTCCAAAGTTTAGAATGCACCAGATGCGCCGGATCGGAACAATGGCTCGCCTGCAGCGTCGTGATTGGTCATCCCCGGTACCAGCCCACCAAGGCTGCAGCAATACGCTCCCGCACCACACACGCCTTGCACCCAGACTTTTTTTTCGAAAGGCCTGCACCGTAGAGGAGGAGCTGCCGCAACCACATCATCAACACACAGGGTACACTCTACACTGCTGTTTTTGAGCCTCACGACTGACACCGCCCCGATTTACGAAGCGCATCAGGTCGGCGGCCCAACATGTCTCTCAACATCCCCAACGCGCCGAACGCCAACCTGTTCAAGCAGGGGTACAACAAGTGAGTCCCCTTTTTCCAATCAGGAGCTCCCCTCCCCTCCCCCGCCTTGGATGCCCGTCACCGACACTGACCCCTCGTACCCAGCTACGATTCCGAAGATGGCGCCGTGCTTCGCAACATCGACGCCTGCCGGGCCATCTCCTCGACGGTCCAGACGTCCCTTGGCCCCTACGGCCGCAATAAGATCGTCATCAACCACCTCCAGAAGATGATCCTCACCTCAGACGCCGCCACCATCCTCAGAGAACTCGATGTCGTCCACCCGGCAGCTAAGCTCCTGGTCATGGCCAGTCAACAGCAGGAGGCCGAGATGGGTGATGCCACCAACCTGGTCATCGTCCTTGCTGGCGAGCTGCTGAAGAAGGCTGAGGACCTGCTGCGTATGGGTTTGAAGACGTCAGATATCGTTACCGGTTACGAGCGTGCACAAAAGTTCGCTCTCGAGACACTCGAGGAGCTTTCTGTCGACAAGGTGGAGGATATTCGCTCGCAAGAGGAGCTCAGCAAGGCTATCCGCACCGTCGTCGCCAGCAAGCAGAACGGCAGTGAGGATTTCTTGGCCGACCTTGTTGCCGAGGCCGTCCTGGCAGTGCTGCCCAAGAACCCCGTCGGATTCAACGTCGACAACATCAGAGTCGTCAAGATCATGGGTGGTGCTTTGGAGCAGAGTCGGGTAGTCAAGGGTATGGTCTTCCCCAAGGAGCCCGATGGATCGATCAAGAAGGCGCAGCGTGCCAAGGTCGGAGTCTTCTCCTGCCCCATCGACACCAGCCAGACCGAGACCAAGGGAACCGTTCTCCTCCACAACGCCAAGGAGATGATGGACTTCACCAAGGGCGAGGAGTCGCACCTTGAGGCCGCCATCAAGGAGCTCCACGATGTTGGCATCAGAGTAGTCATTGCTGGCTCAACCGTCGGCGAGCTAGCCCTCCACTACCTCAACAGATTCGGCATCCTTGTCATCAAGATTCTCAGCAAGTTTGAGCTGCGAAGAATTTGCAGAGTGGTTGGCGCAACCCCCCTTGCCCGGTTAGGTGCGCCGATGCCTGATGAGATGGGTTCCATCGACGTTGTCGAGACCCTCGAGATTGGTGGAGACCGCGTGACTGTGTTCAGACAAGAGAACGAGGCCACAAGAACAGCGACTCTGGTCCTCAGAGGAGCTACCCAGAACCACCTGGACGACGTCGAGCGCGCTGTTGACGACGGCGTCAACGTCGTCAAAGCTATCACTAGAGACCCTCGCCTTGTGCCCGGCGCGGGTGCCACCGAGATCCAGCTCGTTGAGAGGCTGAACGCTCTCGGCGAGAAGACCCCTGGCTTGTCGCAATACGCCATTCGCAAGTACGGCGAGGCCTTCGAGGTCATTCCGAGAACGATTGCAGAGAGTGCCGGCTTGGATGCCACGGAGGTTCTTAGCAGGCTGTACGGAGCTCACCACAAGAAGGACGACTGGGCCACCGGTGTCGACGTTGAGGTAAGCGCAACGGTTTCGTTTGTCCTGGAATGCCACGCTAACCCTTACAGAATGACGACGGCTCTGGCACCCTTGACGCCCGTGATGAGGGCATCTTGGACCTGTTGGTCTCCAAGTCATGGGCCATTAAGCTCGCCACCGAGGCAGCCCGTACCGTCCTTTCCGTTGATCAGATTATTGTAGCTCGTCGGGCAGGTGGCCCCAAGCCTCCTGGTCCCAACCCTGTAAGCCATATCTTGTGCGTACATCGGCTATATCGTGCTGACATTCAGTGTAGAACTGGGATGAGGACTAAATGGGTATATACGGCGGCTGGTAATGGAGTTCATGTCGGTTTTGATGATCATAGACCACCCCAAAAGTCACGTCGAGATATCCCGAATAGAGTCCCAAAGACAAATGCAAGTACTCGAGCACGCCCACAGTGATGTCTCCCTATGTGTGAGGTTGGAGCCTAGTGGACGTAACAACTGAGGTCCAGGACAACGGAACGGTAAGTATAACGCATCGCTTGATTTACGAACATTGCGTGCTTGCCATCATCCGGTTATTTTTCAATGACTATGCTAGACAGTAACCCCCTTGGTCCACCTCAACATCGCCCCGTCGCCGGTGTTCTTCCTGTAGAAAGCATCATCACCGGAGATTCACCTCTTTGAGCAGTGCATAGATCAGACCGTTCAGGGCAAGGGTCATTCGGACGTTGCCAGACCGGTTTCGTTATCACTTTGGGAGATTAACGGTTAGGAAAGTATTTGTACTAATGAGCTCTCGTGAAGCACCTGACTCACTTTGCCCCCAGGGGAGGGGAGGATCGCCAATCAAGCTCACATCGGCGCCATCAAGCATCTCGCATGGTAGATAACATCATGGATGGAGCAACAACGACTTGGCCTGGTCGCAGATTCAAACCCACATGTCCTGTTCATCACATCCGCACGCGCTAGTCCTACTTTCGCATGTACCGGCCACCGCTCAAGCGTCGGCAACCTTGAAACCTCCCGGCATCAGATCCGTAAATACCCTAGCAGGGTCATACTTGTTGCGAATCTCCTTTAGGCGGTCCAGGTTCCCCGCGGGATAGCTCTCAAAGACAGGCTGGCCGACGTCTGCCTCGTTCAGATAGTAGAACGGATACATCGCCCCCATGGGTTCTAATGTCTCCCTGATTCTGGTGTTGAACTCGCTGATAAAGGTATCAAAGACTTGGTCGTCCGCCTCGTCCATCCAGCTGTACGTCTGCTCGATCCAGCACGCAGGCGACTCGTCGATGCCCTGCAACGCACCCGGTCGGGCGTTTGTGGCTGCGAGAAAGGCCGACGTGATGGGGTTGAAGGCGAAGCCGATGATGCCGCCAGGCGTATCCTTAAAGGTGGCGTTCGCGAGCTCGAAGAACATGTCGTGGGCGATGAGCATGGCCTCCTTATTGGCGTAGATGGGGAGCATGTGGAACCGCTGTCTGGAACCGTAGGAGCGGCCGCCCTCTTGGAAGGATGGCTCGATGGCCTGGTGGTAACGCCCCATGGGAAACGGGGCGAGGGATCTTGAGCTGTTGTCCGGGGTGAGGATGTCGCCGAGGAAGTCACCCAAGACGGCCGGATGAGTGGAGTTTCCGTTGTAGAAGAGCGTCGAGGAGTACGTTGGCCCAGCCGTTCCACTGACGTAGGTGATGACGGGTAGAACAGCAGCCTTGGGATCATTGTGCCCGCTGACGGCGAAGTTGTATACGCTGTCGATGAATCGTTGCTTGGCCTCTTCGCCGCCGTACGAAGGTGACGCGATCATCACGGATGGGGCACGGTGTGTCTGGAGATCGAAGCGGGTGACTAGGCAGAACGAGTTCCCGCCTCCCTGGAGCGCCCAGAAGAGATCTGCGTGGTCGTTGGACGGGGTAGCTTGTACGATGCTGCCATCAGCCAAGACGCACTTGCCCTCTTGTGTCAGCAATCTTGGAACTCAGAATGCTCGCGCGGTATGTCTCACACACCTCATATGCCTTGATATTGCCGTTGGTCGACGCCAGCCCATACTCGGGGCTGAAGAAGGAGATGCCGCCTCCCAACAAGAGACCGGAGACGCCGATCGGGCTGCCCCGACCGCCGAGGACAGTGATTTCCGTACCGTCGAGCGCCGTGTACACATCGGACCACCGGAGACCAGGGCCGATGGCCAACGTGTCGCGGTCGTCGGAGAGTTGGAGGGTCCTCATGTTCCTGCTCGATATCAGGATACCGGTGGCGCCGATGCTGCTTGCGTTGGATATGGGCATGTGCCCTCCTCCACGCATGGCGAATTCGACTTGCTGGTCCACGATGCGCTTAAGGCCAGATGATAGTTGCTGAGCGTCGAGTGGTGCAAATATGCAGGCCGGACGGAGCCAAGACCTCGCGGACCACGGAACTGGATATCGGGTGCCATGTCAGATTCACTTCTGGGCTTGGAAGAGTTCACAGGACGTTGGACTCACCTTGGACTTCCTGAGTGTAAGCTCCTTCTTCAGGAAGAAGAGTTGAGTTGCCAAAATCACCTCGGAGACCCTGGCAGACCTTGGTCGCCTTCTCTGCGCATGGTGTCTCTGTGACAACAGCAGCCGTGGTCAAACCCGCCAGTAAGAAGTAGAGAGCATGCATCGTGTAGGATAGAAGAGCCGCTGTAGTAAGTCAAAGTTCAGTAGCCGGGAAATGGTGTCAAGCTATGGATAGCCACGACCCCTGACGACAACTCCTGAGATCTTATCTGTTTTCGACAGCGCGTTGATCTCGTCGACTGTCCGATCATACCGCCGGTAGACAGTTGCTCCGGCGGGATGTCATCGCTCCATGTAGTAACCCAAGTGGCTTAGGGGGTAGAGGCAATTTCGATGACCCATTCTTATCATCTTACCAGTAAACTCAACATATCATGTTGGATACTTGACTAGCTGTCAGCCGAAGTAAAGACGAGATCCACTGTGCGGTAGTCGTCGGCCAGGCAATCTATCCAATTAAAATCATGGACACCAATACTGCTCTGGCCCATCACGTTTTCAATTTCGACAGAAGAGTTCGACACGTGCCAATAATCACGAGAAGCACTTGAATAGTATAGCAGCCTCGTGTATATCTCTGGAAGACAGTCGATGCTTATGTAGGGCTCTTCGCCATTGACGATAGTTAGCTACAAGCTTGCGAAGAACTATATGCAGCAAACGAGAAAAACCCGAAAGGCTCTTGGGTGTCAGAAACATCATCTCAGCTTACCAGGAATAATACCAACAAAGTTGAATTGCCAATTGTCGGACTGGAAGTTTCGGCATAGCGCCCTCCAGGCTGCACAACCCTCCAAATACCTACCTGTAAACGTAGATCCATAAGTTACCTCGTCTGCTAAACTACTACAATACTTCACGACGCTCAATTGTATTTTGGAGAGCTGGCTGTGGGAACCGAGTCGAATAACTTCCGTATACGATGACGAAGAACGAATACGAACCCGCAAGGCACATCAAAAAAAGTAATGCGACCTTGATCGGGCAGGGTTGTCTTGGTACCTAATATATGTTCCGTATCGGGCCAGCAATTGGGCCGATGCCGCGTCCTTGCACTCGATCTAACCCACAATTATTGGGACAACTCTTTCGAGTTCATCCGATACTTTGCGAAATAAATCTACTCGATCTTAGCGGCTTTACTTCTCATTGGTATCATATAGATCTGCAGCTCTTTTGCAAGTATCACAAGAACTCAATTGCCCTGGCCTAGCCACAGCCTACAGACGTACCGCGAGGCTCGTGAGTACATGGCTGCATATTGTGATACTAGATACCTTGTTGATCCAGAAAGGCATTTCCTCAGATCACCACGACACCACATGACAGGATTGCCTCGGTGCTCGAGGGTATTCCGCAGTAAGAGTGCCATGTCTGGTTCAACTTTGACGAGGACATGCTCTGCGTTGGGGACATATGTTTGGGCGACTTCAGGACTGTAGCTGGTCAAGTTCGCTGGCTACGACTTGAACGTTCCCTTGAACGAAAGCTTTTCTCGCACAGAATCGCTGTTGATCGGTAGACTGCTTAGAATTATTGCTGAGGTTGCCTGGAGGGCGTCCGGGCGGACTAATCTGTAACCAAAGACCTCGATTGAAGAGAGAGAGGAATCAGGATGTAGAGTTGCAATCCTGCGTTAACTACCTTACCTCGAGCGACGAGCAAGCACACACTGCATTTGTTTCAAAGGTGCTCTTTGCGATTGAGAGCCAGCCAACAAGTCGGGCCCTTGAGTCATTGGCGCTGAACACAGGTTAAAAAAGCCCATAGATTGGACAAGACAAGAAATTTGGGTGTTTCCAAACTTGGAGAAAGACGTACAGAACTTGTTCCTGTGTTCAGGTGCATGCAGCTTCAGCCTCAAAGGCAGAATAGCAAGGGTGATCTGCTTGAATAACTCCGTCTATCCTGCGCTTGTTTCGGGCTGTTCCGAAGCCTGACAAATATGTTACCAAGACATTGCCAGTGCTTCTACGAGAGGTAAGCTGTAGAGATCGTTGCATTGACTGCTAGATCAAGATAATCAGTCTTGAGACTTAGAAACGCCGCTGGGTGCCCCAGAACCCGGGTTTCCCAACGAACACCTTCTCCAAGAGGCATATCGTCATGAAACAGAATTGTTACGAGCATTCTCATGGTTACTTCTCGTATTTGATGCCTCAAATCTCTTATGAAGTTATGGTGTACCGTTGTGGGCGTTGTCTTGAGTAAACACCAAGTGATCTCACCGTAAAGGGGAGTATCAGCATCATCACGAGCTTCAACCATCACATACGACCATACCCATTGGAAAACTCGGGATCCCGTCCGCTCTCCCATAGATAAGCCAATGAGGGCCGGATTAGTAGTTGGGTCGGTGACGACCAGCGAATACCTGGTGTTGTATGTTTTTGAAGTTTCGGGCCTTTGTCGTGATCTATTTTGGTGGGACACAAGAGACGACTAGAGCTGGGGACCTGAGGAATGACGCTTCTCACTTGCATGCAGAAAATAATGTGATCGACGCCGAAAAATGATAAAGCCTCTTTTTAGAATAGAAGTCTTTGTAGCGTATGAGAGGCGTGTGTTACTACGTATACTTGTAACTAGACGCGGCTACCCCTTTTCATTCCGCAACCCACGCCCTATTCTGACTTAGGGCATGCGTCCTTAGAATAGTAACGTGATTCTATTGGTCGTGTATGAATTAAGGAGTGACCGAATCCTTTCTTTCCTCTACTCTGGTAAGTCTTGATACTAAGAAACACTTAGAGTGCGATTTGTAAGAGAAAGACATGGCTCAAATACTATGATGCTACTATTGAACCTTTCCTCTCCTTATTAAGTATAATATTAAACCCTGCTAGAGTTGCTAGTGCCTCTCGGTATCCCTCTTGATATTTCTTAACTCCACCTAGGTAAATTAATTGCTCTCTCTTCTGGCCTGGGATGTTGGCTCCGTTATACTACGTGTCGGTCAAGGGCATTAAGGTCTTGCTATTGGTAGCCTGGATTGCCTGCTTCCACTTCTCCTCGATATCCCGCTGTGCTTTAATGGACTTGATACCCTTTTTCTGGAGCTTCTGGAGAAGTTCCGTAATCATGTTAACCTGACTCTCAAGGAATGGAGGTCTATTGCTAAACGCCGTGGGTGCTAAAAAGATATGTTAATAGCCGGAAGGTAGCAAAGGTTTTGGTGTTGTAATAACGTACCCTGAGGCCCGTAGACTATGAACAGGTTAGGGCATCTATTGGAGCAAAGTCCTAGATGAGTGAAGACGCTGTCTTTCTACCGGTCTGAAAAGGTGATGCTATCTCTTCCTTGAATATTCATCTTGGTGAGACTCCCTGTCATGGCGTTAAAGCCTGTCGCCATTACAATAGTGTCGAATTCGAGCTCGGATCCGTTTTCGTGTGTAATTCCCCTCTCTGTAAACTCTCGTATCGGAGTAGCTTTGAGGTTAACGATGCTTACAGTGTCTCTATTGAGACACTCTTAGCAGTCCTACTTAAGACTGCTCCTCTTGGTCCTAAATGCGAAAGGTGCTTTCTTAGGTATAAGTAATGCGGCCTTGGCGGGATTCTTGACTCTCGGGCGGGCCTTCTTTGCCCAGAAGTCGTACATGAGTCTGTTGGGCTTCTCGTTAACGAGAAAGTCTCGGTAATTCGCCTGATTGAAGTTAAGACCGCCACGATTCCAAAGCTCTTCCCAAAGTTCTCCCCGTTCCGCATCACTCAATTCAAGCAACCAGGCCTCATGCGTCTCGGAGTCCTTGAAGTGAGCAAACCGGAGAAAACCTCCCTGAGATGCGCATTCCACGCATCCGCCGCCTCCCCCCTGACGTCGATCTTCGAGAAGCTATTCTGTCGCATGAAACGAATGGTCTTCCCGATCCATCCCAACTGAATACCCACCACCACTGGCATATTCCCGAAAGGCACTTGGGGTCCACAAACCGAGAACATGTCGGGGAACCCGGGGATCAGTGTACCAGCGAAGGTATCAACCTTGGATGTCCAACATTTTTTGAGCGACCTTCCTTGGGACCCTTTGGCATCTATCTCGCTGAGAGCCCCAGTGCCGGCGTCAAAGCCTAGAGCAAAGATGACCATGTCAAACTTATACTCCCCGGACCCCGTGACGACACCGTTCTCATAAAGATCATAAAGATCAATGCTATCGGAGGTGATGTCAACCAGCTGGACGTTGGCCGTCGTTATCAATGTTTCCACGTCTTGAGCGAGCTTCAAGAGATGTACGCCTGAGCAGACTACGCGGTCCGGTTCTTGGAGATGGTGCTGGACAGAATGAATACCATGATCCCCATGCTCAGGTTGAACTCTGGCCCTACATCACGACAAGGATCGCAAAGCTGTGAGAGTTCGACGACACTGGTTGGCGGTCCGAGCTCGAAGCGACGGGCTAGGAGAACTGTTGGTATCCCTATTACAGGGTAGTTGGTTCGAACCGTAGTTGACGAAGAGATCAATTGAACTATATGAATATCTGCGTAGTATGTAAAAAGGAGGTTCCAACCGTAGGTTGGGCTGGCTACGATAATCGTAAATAGGGCCCCCAATTGGCCCCTGCGCAGTCGGCCGTATGCCGCGGTCGAATTGGACTTCCAATCCGACAAGAACATCTTCTTCAGCTAAACCCCTCAATGCCCTATGTGCCGACCAAACTCAGTCGCTCACACCATTCTTGGGCTCCTATCATACCTAGCCTGTAATAGCAGACGGGCTTCTCATGGCCAATAATAGCCAGCCAGAAGTGGGAATGGTCAGCGAGCCACTATTTGGAAGTGCTTGGGCAGACGTGGATTCTCTGATTCCGGTTCTGATAGACAATGCCTCTAGCTCAGGTTACTACGACTTGCCTCATGTCCTATGCTCCGAGTTGAGGAAACGAGTCTGCTCCAACGTCTGCATGATTTTCTCTCATCTGAGTTTCTGCCTCAGACACAACATATTTGCCAGCTCTCCTGACCATCGGTGAACATCTCGATTGTCATCAGACAGCAGCACGTTGAGATAACCCTTCGTTCGATGAAGTAAGAATGGTAGGCAAAATGCCATCTAGGATTTCCAGTGCATTCGAACATTAGCTGGACAAAAGCTCAGGGCTGCCAAAAAGATTCTCGAAGCATCCAGCTCGAAACAAGGTAACCGAAAGCAAGCGTCCATGTCAAAAAAATCTGCGAGTGTGCTCACTCATTCACACTTCCAAACATATGTCTAGTTTCGATAGTCGTTCCATCGTAGTCCTCCAACTTTGGACCATTAAACATAACCTGAAGACCTTTCCACATGATGTACGACGCCATCATCTTTTGGCGTACTATTGATGTTGGAATCCATCTCATGGTCGGCAGCCTTTCTGTACTCCTCTTCCTCAGCCCGGGTAGCGTGGGTGTAGTGGACAGCCACTTTCTCGCCAAAGGCCTCGTTAATATCTTCGAGAGACTTCTTGGAAGTCTCGGGGAAGTAGAGAAAAATGACCAACAGGTAGCATGCTGTAGGTACAATGAGAACAAGGAAGAACCTCCAAGTGATTTTCTCCAGGGCAATCGGTGCGACCATGAGCATGACCAGCGATGCTAGAGCGCTGTTGACGATGCCAAAGGCGCTTCCCTGGCTGCGGATGTGGTTCGGGAAGATCTCTGTCAGATACACGAACTGCGTCGCATCTATGCAGCACCCAAAGAATGCGATGAAGAGATAGATGAAAAAGACGGCAGCATTCAGACCTGCAATGTTGTCTGTACCGAGATATCTGGCCTGCAAAGCGCATTCACAAATGAGCGAGACCAGGATGCCAGAGATTCCCACGAGAAGAAACTTGCGGCGGCCGAAGCGGTCGAGAAAAAGTGCCGTAATGATGTTTCCGAGGAAGCCAACTGTAACCCAGATTCCGAGAAGGAGCAATGGCATGTAACCCTTCAGGCCAAGACTGATGAACAGGAGAACGCCATAGTTGGCTAGAACAAGGGTTCCGGTGAGCTGGGCCCCCCACATGAGAATCATGGCGATGATGGTCCTCTTGCGATTTGGTGCAGTCCGCAAAAGCTCGTACCAGACGATGCCATCCTGGCTCTCTTGGTCTTGTTCGACTTGCCGTCGAATTTGGTGAAATTCCTTGGCAACGCGCTCGATGGAGGCTTCGTCGTTGGATGCATGCAAGCGTTTCAACACGATATGGGCTTCTTCGAATCTCCCCTTTCGCATGAGCCATCTTGGAGAGTAAGGTAGCATAAAGGACCCAGCAAGAAGAATTACGACGGGTGCTGCCTGGAAAGCCATGGGAAAGCGCCAAGGAAAGCTTGATGTAGAGCCGGATGCCGTGATGAAGTACACGCCGAAATTGATCCAAGAGCTCAGCGAATAGCCCACGCCAATCATTACACCATGTATCGACACCATGAACCCGCGGGTCTCTGGCGTGCTAATCTCGCTCTGGTACATAGGGATGATCTGTTGATGACTATTGCTTAGCAAAGTTCGGACCTGCAATTGCGTGTGGGTGGGGACGAACGCTGAACAGCATCCCGAGGCCAAATCCTGCAATGAAACGCGCGATCAAGAACATTGTAGTGTTGATTGATCCAGCGCAGAGACCGGCTCCGATGCTCATGATCGCGGATCCGAGCTGCATGCTGTGTTTACGAGAAAAGCGATCTGCAGACCAGGCACTAAAGATTGCTCCAAGAACGGCGCCTGCAGAACTGAGGCCTATGACAGCGAATGATAATTAGTCATTTTGGTTGAAAGCTTTGCGCGACGTCCTTGGGAAGAGCCATAGGCCGTACCATTAAAGGCTCCGATCAAGGCACTTGTGGTTTCATAGCCAGGGGTGCCCGGTGGTGCCAGGTTTAGTGATACATAGAACGATGGCTGTCCTATGATGGCTCTACGATTCCACCCCGTTAGCGACTCAGTATTCTCAGAGACAACACCGAGAACCATATACAGGTAAAGAAGAGGATCAGAGCTTACCCCATAATCGCGAGGCCATAGGAGCAGGCAATGGAGCCAATTGCAACAAACACTACAACCCAGAAGTTGAAGACATTTGGAATGAATCGAGCCATGGCAGTTACAAAAGCTAGGTAAAGGATTAGGCACGGACAAGACAGAAGATGATTGTTTGAGTAATTATCAAAAAAGATTGACGAATGGGGCCCATTCGCTCCGTTCCTGGCTGGAGAACGCTTCTTATCAATGAGCCCAGCCCAGCTCTCTTCGGTATCAAGGCAAGGTAGCGGCATTTCTGGCATGGCCCAACCCCTCAAAGGCAGTTCAGCTCGGTTCGAGACGGAGGTGGCTAGTGAAGGCGGCAAAGTTGTTCGATTGTCAAAGGCAACATCTATTCGATTTCTCCCACCGGCTCTCGAACCTGATCATACTGTGAATTGTGTGTAGACAATTACACCGAACCGCTAGAAATCAAACCAATCCCCACTTTTGGCTTAGCGTGGTTGTCGCGTAGGGCCGCGGCGGTTCCATGATTGCGGAGACGGAAAATTGCGGAGACGAGTGCGGGGAAGGAATCTGGGGTAAAGCGGTAAGCTTGGATGGCAAATGCTTGCACAAGGCCAGATCCGCGGCACCTTCCTACTACATATGTACCTCGGCCTGCTGCCGCTTGCCGAACACACTGCACCCCCCTTGCCTGTCATTTCCCAACCCCATGATTGACGAAGAGATGAGTTCGGCTCCGAAGACGTCCACCACCGGCAGGTCTACGCTGGCTGCTGCAGCAATGGCCGGCAGCACCAAGAGGAAGCGCTCTGCTATCGCATGCGTTGCCTGCCATCAGCGCAAGGTCCGCTGCAATCTCGCCGCTCAGGGCCCGCCCTGCACAAACTGCTCGGAGGATGGCAATGTAACCTGCCGCGTGTATGGCAGCCGGGCCCCGTCTGATGTCCCGCCGCCGCCGCCGCCTCCGATATCTCCGGTCATGCCGTCGCCCTCCAGCTCTTCACAGCATCTGCCTGGCCGAGGAGACGAGCACTCCAGCCCCGATCCGGAACCAGATCCGGGCCCATCTTCGAAGCGGCAGTATCGCCCGACCAGTATTGAGAACTTATTGTGTACCGCACATGACCCAAGTTATGCACATGGCACCCCGAATGCTCCTGTTCTCTACTATATTGGTTTGTTGTCTATTTCTTCTAGCTATTAGGCAAGCCCTCTCAAGACTGACATACTCGGGCGTACAGGCGAGTCTGCTGGCATGGCTTTGCTCTTCGACGTTTGCTATCCTTCTCGTCCTTTGCCAGGCAACTTTTACATCATTCAGCGACAGCGTCGTTACTTTCCCCCGGCACATATCACATCTCCCCTGATGGCGCGCCCGCTGCCTGAACCGGCGGCTCTTCATGACATGATTTGTTGCTATTTTCGTTACCTTCACCCGTATTTACCTGTCATCGATGCGGGCCGTTTCATTTCAGCATTCGCCAACCAGCCAAGCAGCATCAGCCCCCTCCTGCTGTGGAGCGTCTTATTTGCTGCCGCTACGGTAGGAATCTCCACCTCTCTTTACCCTGTTCCTATCCATGACCAATATGGCGACATTCTAACATAACACTTCATCAAGTTCGTCAAGCCAGAGCATTGGCAAGCTACTGAGTTCAGAACCAGAAAGGAATACCAAGAGGATATCTACCGGCATGCCAAGGTGAGCTTTTCCTCTGGATGGACCCCATCCGTTCCATAGCATGCCATCAGGCAAGCGGCAATGTTATAAAGCAAGCGACAACATAATCGCTGACAGTGTTTTGTAAAGGCGCTCTATGACAGCCAGATCGAGGTAGACAAGCCGACAATAATACAGGCTTGCATACTCCTCTCGTATCACCTCGTGGACCGAGAAGATCTGGACGGGCCATGCCACTGGATTGGAGTGGCAACCGGTCTAGCACACAGCATCGGTTTCCACCGAAAACCAACATGCGAACGGGTCCAATCTTCTCCATTTTCCCAGTCACAATGTAGTATTTGGGCACGTATCTGGTGGAGTCTTTACTCCCGTGAGGTCTGGCTCGGTCTCGGTTTTGGCAGGCCACTCCGAATCAACTCGGAAGATTGCGACTTACCAATGCCAGAACCCGCCGCAGTTCTCAACGATGTTGACAGCCTTCCAGCTACACTGCGAGAAACATTCATTCCTCGCGAGTTTGAAACACTTGTGCCTCTATGGATAGAGTTGCTGAAGCTGGCTATTGAACTGGAAACAATCTTACGACTCAACTTTCAGCCTGGTCAACCACCCGCGTCGCTCGCGGCTCTCGAATCACATTACAGTACTCTCCAGGCAATGCAGAACAAAGTCTGCGTGGAACTGATGGGGGAAACACCACTCTTGTTATTACATCGCAGTGTCCTCAAGATTTACCATGGAACTGTGTTAATTGCTCTTCACCGACCGTACCTCATCCCGTCAAAGCAAAGCTCAATAACTCCTCTCGAGCCAAGCAATATCCAATCGCTCGCGATGGACAGGTACACTACAGCCGCTTCGGCCATCACAAAGGCCGTCAACGACCTTGTACGCGCTGACCTACTCAACGTTTCACCCCCCACGCTCCCGACCTGCATCAATTCCGCCATTGGAGTACACCTCCACGAAGCGTGCCGTTCAGAGGGAATCGGCCGCCAACTTGCGTTGCGAAATGTAAACCTCCACATGCTTGTTCTTTCCCATCTCGGCAAGATTTACTGTTCCGCCGAGATACAGTATCGTTTCTTTCTCCAAATCATGAAGACGGCTGAGCCTCTTCCCTCGACTCAAAGCAGAAGAACATCTCGTAGGGGAAGTTGTAGTCATGCAGGAACAGCAGCCGTAGGTCCCCTACAAGCCAGTGAGCCGCAGGATGCTACTCGCGAAACAACCGCCTATGATGTGGTCACCCCAGTGTCTACGCAACCGGCATCTAGGGAGTATCAAGATGCAGTTCATGGCCAGACACCCTGTAATAGCGAAGGAGATGCGCTCTTGGGGGATGCAAACATCGATCACGATTTCTTTTTGTCCTCTACTTTGTTCAATATTGACTCAACTCCCTTCTCCGAGGAGGAAATGGATTTCTATAAGCAATGGGGTCTAACAAATTTGTAGAGAAAGTTCTAGACACTGTCATTAACATGTCTTTCGCCTCGGACGTGGGCTGAATGTTGAGTGATGTATTGTCCAGAGAAACTATGCCTCGACTGGGAAATTTGAGAGCATTGAAAAACCTCGTTCTCCTATCATCATTTCAAGTGTCCCAACTCTAGATGTCTCTGGTACACGAGAGTACACTCAGCATGTTTGATTCTACCTCACAGCTTGGAAACAGCTCGAGCTGTGATGTGGTCCTCGCGACCCTCCAAGACTTGAGCATACAATTCCGAGAGCCGGTCTCGATACAAGTCTCCGACTTTCTTCCGCTGAAGTTTGAGAGTTGGTGTCAGGGTTTCGTTGCCTACCGAGAACGGTTCGATGGAGAGGTCAAAGTTCTTGACACGCTCGTAACTCGCAAACTTGTTCGCCTTGCCCACCGCCTCGAGATCCTGGAATACCCGAGCACGCACTGCAGCATCCCCACACGCTTCTCTGATGGCTGGCAAGTCCGACGATGAAACTATACGGCCGAGGACCTGGGATGCAAGAGGCGCAAAAAGTTCAGGGTCTACACCAAACATGCCGATGGTGAATGCCTGCAGACTGTCACCATGAACAAAGGCCTGAGCGATGTATCTGCAACCAGATAGATAGATTCCCTCGAGGCGCTCTGGCGATACGTACTCGCCTTGAGCGAGCTTGAGAAGGTTCTTGCGACGGTCGACAATGGTGAAGCGACCCATGTCGTCGATTGATGCGATATCGCCCGTGCGGAACCAACCGTCTTCGGTGAAGCTCTCGGCCGTTTGCTCCGGGTTCTTCAGATACTCTTTGAATAAGTTGGGTCCCCGCAGCAGGAGTTCACCACGTGAACACGGGACATCTTCGATGGTGTAGCCCATCTCAGGCACGGAAAGCAAGCAGGCCTCTGTTGACGGTACGAGACCTCCGCAGTGTCCCGTGCTGGCATCAGCCCGATTTTGTGCCAATGCACAAGCGTACGTCTCGGTCATACCGTAACCCTGGATCACGCTAGATCCACTCACCACACTCAAGAACTTGTGCAATGCTGGGTCGAGTGGCGCAGAACCGGTAATCATTGTATGTGCGCGGTCGAGGCCCAGTGTGGCCATGATTTGCCGGCCCCAGATCCTATCGTGAAGCGGGTGCTTGTTAGTAGGAGCTTCTGCGTCTTCGAGGTTCGCCAGTTTGGTTGCCACAATGTACCTGCTCACAGCCCCTCGGATCCCGGAAGCTTCGAGTGTAGCCGACTTGAGGATACCGCCAAATCGGTTGTAAATTCTTGGGACTGATGGGAAGATAGTCGGCCGGAGGGACTGCAGACCCTCTACAAGATTGGAAATGTCGCCGCTGAAATATCCAATCTTGGCCCCACTGAAAGCACCGAGGTGTTCCAAAAGTCGGCCATAGACGTGTGCTAGTGGTAAATAGGAGATCATGACATCGTTGCCCGGCAGTCCCGCATCAAGGAGAGAGCCAACTGTCGCTGCGACCGAGCCCTTGTGTGTCAAGACGACGCCTTTGGGCGCCCCAGTAGTTCCCGAGGTGTAGTTGATGGTGGCTATATCATCCGGCTGTGGGGGCCGCAATGACCTGGAAGAGGCTGCGCCCAATTGCTCAATTTCTTTCAGCGAGTAGATCTGAAGGTCCAGCTTGAGTGCTTCTGTGATGGATGCCAACAGCCGGTTTCGCGACAGAGAGTCTTGGTTGTCTAACCGGGACTGAACATCGTCCAGTATCACTAGACACTTGAGCCCAGGCAAGTTCGGCTTTAGAGCGATCAGTGCTGGAACATGAGTGACAGAAGTAACAACGCATGTCAACTCGGCGTGACGGATAATGTACTCTGATGCGTCTGGGCCCAGCGTGTCGTATAATGAGACACTGAAGAGTGATTGCGACATGCATGCGAGGTCGACAATTGGCCATTCAGGTCGGTTTTCGCACCATAGCCCAATGCCAAATTGTGTTCCGCCCTTACCGACGCGCTCGTGAATTTCTACCAGACCCTTTCCGATGTTGTTCCTGCGTTGCTGGACAGTTTTGAAACTCAGCCACTCCCAAGGAAGATGACATTGCTGAACGAGGTCGTAGGGTCGGCGGCCCAGATAGTCTGACTTTGGATTGCTCTTCACAGTGGCCTCGAACATGTCGTGAGCCGTCAATATATCTGGGCCGATACCCTCCAACAATCCATCTGCAAATTGCCAATGTCTGTACACATTTGAGCGACCAGGTTGGCTTGTACCTGGGAGTGCGACCGAGTATGGCTGGTGCTTGGGTCGCGTTTCTCTGAGGTCGAGTATCCTTTGGACATGCGACGGTAAAGATGTTGAAAACACCATGCTTGCTTCGAGGCGACGAGTGCAATTCTAAGGCTGGAGAGTAGAATGAATTTCAGACAACATCGGGGAGGTGGAGGGCTTGCCGAAGGGAGTATGCGGGAGCGGCGCAGACCGGCGGCATGAATAAATAGTAAGTAGATACGGAAGCACGGATAAAGATACCCTTGGCGGATATGTGAGAACTCGGTTAGGTAAGGTGGACAACGGGACCATTCATCTGCCCCATGAAGTTGCCAACTGGAATTGCCTGTGCACGCCAGAAGAGGCAAAAGGACCTTTGCGCAAAGCCTCGGCTTGGTGAATCTATTACCGCTGCAGAACGCGAGCAATTGACTACCAAATATTCACTTGGATGTGCGACTCTGTTTTGCCTCATGATTCGGCCATGGCCTAATTCATCCGGCCTCGGGCTTCTTTGCAAGCCAATACTCCGTGGCTTTCTTGTAATGTTGTGGTACTTGGTGGCATTGGTTCAGAATTTCGGATTGACTGGCTGCTTCATCATAAAGGTTACCAGACCTCCAAGCAGCCGAATTCCTAGTCACGCTGGTCTACCAATAACCAGAGCAGCTTCAGAGAGGGGTTTCGCCCCATCGTGCTCGGCAGCATCGCTCCATGGCCGCGATCCCTGGTAAGCTCTATCATTCGTTGTCCTGCCGAGGTTCGGCCCATTTTATTCAAGACAGAGATCAGACTCGGCCGGTGGGTTAGATGCTGAGAGGTGCAGAATCGGCTCCCAAGTCCCCCACTGCCGGAGGCCTGGACCGAATTTGAGCGGGGCCGCTGAGGGAACCGCGGCACCGCGCAAAACCCAGCACTTGCTACGGATTGCTCCTATTTTGTCGAGCTTATACCATCTGGTTGAATGCAAAGCCACCGCAGCCGGACATGGGCCAACTGAAGTGCGATTCGCGATGAATGCGTAACTATTTTAAATATCACAAAGTACGCCACGAAACGACATTCGAGCGACAGCCACATCCAATGTGTGTTCTCAATATTGGTGTACTTCCATTTCTAGGATAGCGGTATTGCCTATTAGGGCGAGAAATTATTTCTATGACCAATCATAGTTCGCAGTCAGGTATTCCACCAGTGTCGCTCCAACAAATGTAAGAAAGCAGGCTATTCATGGAGGGAATGCGAGTATTACGTGTTATAACATTTGGCAAAGTGTCTGAAAAGTACTGGTGCGCTTTCTCATTCATCTCATTCATGAAGACTTGGGCATATCCATCTTCTCGTATTTGTGCTTCTCATCTTGGGCTTATTGTTGGGTGAAATCGTCCGTTTAGGAATCTCGGCTCGTCGCACTGATCAACTCGGTAGCAAGATGTTATCCCCACTTAGACCCAGCTATTTCTTTTAGGGGGCTTGGCTGGGAGCCATTCCAAAACATCACAGTCATGGATGACAGCTGATAAGTCAGGCACTATATTGGGTGGATGCTGCCTTGATGGGTAGCTTCATCTTCTCCCCAAGGCAATTCTGCCATTCGAAGCGCTGTAATCACGCATCATATGTCATCTGTTGTGCACACCTGTCTCATATCACGGAAGCTTGATCCATTTCGGGTCGTCGGATGTCTGCTTGTAAGGTAGGTTGTATTCGTTTCTCGGCACACTACAAGCGAACCGTTTTCATACTGGCTATCAAGTTACATCTTGCTCGGCATTCTCATGCCGCCGTCAAGTCTGATCACCGTCCCGTTGAGCATGATGTTTTCAATCAGGTGTACGGCGACTGCTGCAAATTCGTCTGGCTGTCCTGCCCGCTTGGGGAACTCCATGGCAGACTCCAAGCTTGTCCGACCTTTGCCAGTCATGCGCGATGTCATGGCGCTTTCAAAAAGCGAAGGTGCAATAGTAGCAACTCGAATACCAAATCGGGCGAGATCCCGGGTCATGGGTAGTGTCATTGCCGTGATTGCGCCCTTGGAGGCCGCGTACGACACCTGTCCCTTCTGACCGTCGAAAGCGGCTGATGAGGCAACCATGATCACGATTCCACGCTCTCCATCAGGTTCGATTGGTTCAACCTTGGCCAGTTGGGCTACTGACTGTCGCACTAGATCAATAGTACCTCGAAGATTCACGTTCAGCACCCAATCGACCAATTTGAGGTCGAAAGGGGCACCGTGTCTGTCTAGGATCTGTCAAAAGTCGCGTCAGTACTCCATTCCTTGCAGTTAAGAAGGGCAACTCACAGTGGCAGGCCCGCCTACACCAGCAGCGGCAACGACACCTCCAAGCGGCATCTTAGTTAGCGCACTCCATTGTGCAGCACCATTGACTGCTTCTGTGACAGATTCGGTTCGTGTCACATCGCACGGGAAGAATTCCGTTTGCGAGCCCAGCTTGTTCACAAGGACGGCACCGGCGTCTTGAGATATGTCCAAGATAGCCACATGGCCGCCTTTCTCGACGAGGTGCTCGACGCAGGCCTGTCCCAAACCGGATGCGCTGTGCTAGAGGTCAGTAATTGTCACGTAATAGGGATAGTAATCGTACTCTATAAAGTGCCCGTTACGTACTAAATTACGTATCTATTTTAAATATTATATAGTGGTTTTTTTCCGGCTTTATAGGCGCAAAAGATCGACCTTAACGGGATTACGCTTTTAAAGGAAATTATATAATACGGTATATT